CTTGCAGAAGATCAAATGTAAGATTGCAGACAACAAGTACGAACTTCGTCAAGAGTTTTTATTGGTATGTGTAGTTTTTACTAGCTATCTACCATTTTTGCAAAATCCTTGTTAAGGATGTCAAACGTATGCTTGATAATTCACGTCTTTACAATGGTGATAATCATGTGATCACAGACGCTGCGAAGAAGGTAAGCTTGAGCGAGTCATGCCTTGGCGAAATCTATCTCATGCTTTGATTCAGATGTTTGAATTGGCTTCGAAGCGACTTGTAGAAAAAGAACAACAATTGATGAAGCTAGAGAAGGCTATTAATCCTCTTTTGGATGACAATGATAGAGTGAGATTAATATTTTTGTTTAAAACACCATTACTGCTCTTTAGGCTCATTCATCGAAGTTTTTTTTGCAGGTTGGATTCGGTTTTGTCCTTGAAAAAATTGTCCAAGCTTGCAAAAATATCCCGAAATCCGTTCCGTTCCATACGCGAGTGGATGCAAAGAAGGTAGTTTTCTTCAAGTTTACGGGAGTATTGCTTATTTGCGACAAAAGCAAGCCTGTCTATTTCTTTTTCTCAAAAATAAAAATTTGTCCTTAGGTGCCATTCTACTACCAAAAGATCACAAAACCTATGGACCTTGGCACGATCGAGCAAAATGTGAAAGCTCATCACTATGTGACTGTTGAAGAATTCAGAAATGATATCCATCAGGTGGAGATCAGGCATCTTTATGAAAATTACCAATGAACTTTGATTTTGGAGTCTATGTTGCATGTTTCCAGATCATGATTAACTCGGAACTGTACAATGGTCCTGCTGAAAAATCATCCTATACTGCGAAAGCGACAGAGATTGTCGCTCTTGCTGATAAAATGCTAGCTGAAAATTCTGTTCAGGTTTTTTTTTTCACTTGTCTTGGCATTTGAAAACCATATTCATTCCAATAATAATCAGCAACGCTGTTTCTACATTCTTATTTAAATATTTCAGCTATCCGAGCTTGAAGCAAATATTAACGGGTTTGATCTTAACATCGGTGAAGTTGAACCAGAAATCGAAGATGCCATGGCCAATGATGGTAATAATCTTTTAGCTTTATTTT